TTATTTAGTATAGTACTGGGAAGGTTTCTGAAAAATAATTTCTTGAATATCTTGAATATCCTTAGAGTTATTTGCAGATTTGTAGATTTAACTCGCAAGCAGCGCCACCATTGCGACGGAGATAGGCTAAGGCAGGAAGTCTGCTCCACGCCTTATGACCTTGGGTCTTTCAGGGCTAATATATTAAGTAAAACTAATTCAAATATTAGTGCTTTATAATGGCTATCTCCTTGAGGTTACCGATTTAAAAGTTTATTTTCTAATTTTAGATTGTATAAGAAACATATTTTAGTTTAAGTATTGTACTTTATTTTAAAAAGTTTAAATAATTGTGCAAGACGATATATACGATATATAAAAATCAAAAGAAATAATGAGTATCGTTTAAATATAAAATTCGAATAAATATAAATGCGATACTAAAAATTAAATAACTTATATAGAAGCTTTTGCATAGTTTCGTCCTGTAAGCATACCAACTTGATAAAAGTTTCCTGTTTTCCCTTTGAATTTGCTTGATACGAACCTCTATTCATTTTTTTGAATTAGTAGAAATCAGACGATAACCATAGGTCATAGCCATTCAAAAGTTGGTTTAGGTCGTCAATCCTTTGCAAACAAATGGAAATATCCACGCTGGCGCTCTCTCCACAGATTTTTTAAATGATATCCCGTGTCTTTTTTTTTTTTTTTTCAATTTGAGAGCCACTCCTCGCTTGAAGCAAATCCTTTAATCCCAAGAGACTGCGCGAAAGATTTGAATATGAAACCGCCGACGGAACGTTAGGCAAGATACTATCCCTTTAACTTCCAATTACCGAGGGAACCAATTAATATTGATTTTATTCAACTTATCAAGTATTTTTCAAGGGACCGGGAAAAAAATGTTCACTTTATCGAGAGATTCGTTAGACAAACCTTTACTCGGGTGAAAACCCGGGCGAAGCCGGGTACATCCATACAAGAATAATGATACAATTCCAAGGCAAGATAATATTCCTTTAACTTCCAATTACCGAGGAAACCAATTAATATTGATTTTATTCAACTTATCGAGTATTTTTCAAGGGACGGGGAAAAAAGGTTCACTTTATCGAGAGATTCGTTAGACAAACCTTTACTCGGGTGAAAACCCGGGCGAAGCCGGGTACATCCGCTAGTTTATTACATAAATAAAAAACAAACATCACATGTTTAAACTGAATAAAAAATTATATACATTTTGAAATTCTCTTAACTGTATTATTCGATACAGAATTAGCTTGCTGTTCTGACTCAAAGTTAAATTCAAAATCTGTATTTCTTAATATTTTACTTTTCTCTATTTTCCAAAAAAATGTTACTATTAGAATAAATATATATATTGATGAAATTTATAGAATTGAAGTCTCGAATTAAATTTCAAATAATGTCTATTAATCAGTGAATTAGCTCTCTCTCTCTCAACCAATCTCTTCGAGATTTCTCAATAAGAAGACTAAAATAGAATCAATTTGGCCACCCTGAATTGAATTCTTCACAGAGTAATTCACTTTTCAAACTCCCATTACTCGCTACCTGTAAACAACCCCAATGACGTCACAACTCGCTAATCTCTCTCTCCCTCGGATTAAACCAATTGGATTTGTTCTTATCACCTTCCAACCACTTGACTAAGTCTGAGAAATGATTACCTGAATGGAGCGTTGTGATTGGCTAGCGGTTAACCAATAGCTGGAGAGCGTAGGTGAGATGGAAATATAAAAGGAGGAATTTGGGAGTCAGTTTCTCATTCGGACCTGGCTTTCCTAAGGTAAGTATCTTGGTTTGTTCCTGTATACATCTTCCTAAAATCCAGTAAAACCTCTGTTAAAATACCATCTTAAAAGGTTGTCTTAAAAGTTCGTAAACATATTATAATTTATATTTTGCAAGTGTTTACGAACTTTTGGGACAACCTTATAATTCTGAAACTTGGCCCACCTGCTGATTGGCCACCCTTGATATAGAACATCAGAGATCAAATCATTCTTCTATAAGAATTCTGTTATAATTATACCAAGGTTACCAATATTACCAAGGTTGTCTCAAAAGTTCGTAAACATCCGATAGAAGGCGCAAGCCATCAGCAACTTTCAATTGCACGATAAGGAGATACCTTTTTTTTTTCCTTAGTGAAACCTGTCTTAGATGTCACCTGTCTTGAGAGTTTCCCTGTCTTAGGAGC